AGTAGGAATTGAAGTGGACAAAAATATGAAGTCCGAATATAGTTAGGAAGAATACATGCAGTGAACGGACGATTGTTGTGACTTTATGGCTCGCTAGTTATCACGTAATCTATTCGCCAATCAAAATACGACTTATTCGCTCTTATACTCTACTAAACCTATGACGTCCGACGGGTCTGATCAGCCTAGCGTCCTATTGGTCCGTTGCTCGCCTAGCCCGTCTAGCTGAGTCCAGAATGTCAATAACAGCCTCCACTATGAGAATCATTAATTTCAGACATACTGGGTTTATATATCAACCAAGCAGACCGCAACGCAGCATAAAATAGGAAATAACATTCATACACAATAAAGCCAAAAAGTGGCTGTAAACGTGGGAGGCAGTAGTCAATAAACTGAACATAGCTTAGGAACAGTAAGTCGTACAATAATAATCTAGAGGTCAAAATAAAGCTTATAGCAAGGGGAATATAGATAAACATTATCTAGTTACTGAATATTTACACCATAAGAATATACAAATAATATTAGTCCATTAATAGGTCTCAGACGTTACTCGTAAATGTAATCTTCACTAGGATATAACAACGATACCTATTATTGTGTCTATCATATACGATTGTATTTTCTCGTTTTTTTTCTGAAAGAAACAACGAATTAATAGAAAAAGATTATGGAGGATCGAAACAAAACCATGTTATCAGTCTATAGAATCACTGATTGCTCAGTTGACTTATGTTTAGAAGTTCAGACTTCCTAATCGGTGTCTGCGAGATAATTGTGAAATGCAGTTGGAAAATTTAGGTAACGTAGTTTGGAGTCAATTACACTGGTACAGATTCTCCCGACCTTTATCTTTCCCGAAACTGTAAGTTTTAAAACTTCAAGACATGATTTATTCTTTGTGAACTTCGATAGTGTCGTTCTTCCTTTGTATATGAGTATCATACAATATAAATTATTTGTTATTTTAATTCTTAAAATCAAATGTAGGCCAAAGATAAGCTGCAATAAATCATATTGAAGAGAGAATAATATCCATCATAAAGAAATAGAGACTGAATATAAAAATGAAAGCTGTATATAGAGTTGAATGTCACATGTCGTAATATTATATGATAAAAAAGAAACAATTTTAAACTTTATGGGAAACATAAAGTGTCTTAATTTATCAAAATTAAAAAAACATTAAATTTAGTGAAGGGATCTCTTTTTAACGAATTTATTATCAAGCTGTACAATCCCTTCCCTGAACTTCGTGATTTTAATGCTTAAATGGGAATTATCTGTCAAAATAAAAATAACTGTTACATTCATGGCCATATATTTAAGTGAACCATCAGTTATTATTTAAGCCTGTATAAATCATTAACTCCGCCTGTAGGTCTTCTAGGGTTACTGCCGGTCTCAAGCCCGGGTAAAGGAGGAGGGTTTATCATAGAGTCAGCAACCCAATCCCATAGAAAACAACCTTTCTAAAAAACCGCTCACCGGAATAAACAATTTAAAACATTTAAACTCTGCTCTAAGAGTTGAAGGATCTTCATTCAGAAGGATTATGACGCCTCATGGTGGAAGCTGAGATTCTTCGGAAGTCACAAGGCTGATGTCCCTACTAAAAATGGGAGCCACAATCAATACAAGTAAGTGGAATGTTCGAACAATGTAGGAAGAAGGAAGGACTAATCAAATAGCTACAGAAATGAAGAGATACTACTTGAAGGTGCTCGGAATCTTTGAAACTCATTAGACCCAACCTGAACAGAAAAGGATAAATTCGGGAGAGATGCTGCTGTACTCGGGTATAATCAAAGCGTCCTTCAAAACAAAGAAGGAGGGAATAATCATGAATGTTATTCAGTGTTATGCACCCACCAATGATAGCAATGACGATGATAAAGGTCAGTTCTACGGCAGGTTGTAGTCCATCGTAGCGAATTTCCCAGGAAAGGACTTGACCACCCTGATGAGAAACCTAAACGCCGAAGTCGGAGTGGACAACACAGGGTATGAAGATATCATCGAACAACATGGACTGGGGGAAAGGAACGAGAATGGCGACAGATTTGCGATTTTACGTGCACTCAACAAAATGGTTATAGGTGGCACTATATTTGCACACAAACGTATACACAAAGCTAAATGGGTCTCATCAGATCACACTACAGAGAACCAGATAAATCATACTTACGTCACTCAAAAATTCATAAGGTCGGTAGAAGACGTGAGGATCGAGAGAGGAGCTAACATAGCTTCAGATAACCATCTGGTGGTTGCCAAGATGAATATGAATTTAGAGAAGCAGTGGACAACTGGAGATACAGTATTACTAAGGTTCAGTATAGCATCCCTCCCAGATACTGACCAAATCAACGAATTCGAGTTAGCTCTCAACAACACGTTCCAGGCCTTAAAAGATCCACTCAAAGAAGAAACCACTATGGAGGGCAACTGGAAAGGGACTAAAGAAGCACTAACTTCAACGTGTAACGAAGTGCTGGGCCGCAACGAGCATCATCGGAAGGAATGGATCTCTATCGAAACCCTAGACAACATTCAAGAAAAGGAAGAATGATAAGGCAGCAATTGACAACAGTCGAACAAGAACAGAAAAGTGAAGTTACAAGCCGAATATACTGAAGGAAACAAGATAGTAAAGAGAAGCATCATAGCTTACAAGTAGAAGTACATGGAAGACCTAGCAACGATAGAATAAAAGACTGCAAATGAAGGAAATAGGAAACGACTATATGACAACGAATAAACTGGAAAGGAAATATAATGAACCAGAGAGATCAGTGAAGGACAAATAAGGCAAGTTAATCAATGAGATTTAAGAACATTGGAACAGGTGGGTGGAACACTTTGATGGATTCTTGAACAGGCCAGTTCCATTGAACCCACTGGCCATAGAAGCAGCACCTACAGACCTTCCTACAGCCATCACTCCATCAACGATCGAAGAAATCAGGATGGATATCAGACAAATTAGGAGTGGGAAAGCAGCACGACTTGACAATATACCAGCTGAAGCAATGAAGTCAAATATACAAGTAACTGCAAACGTGCTCCACGTTCTATTCAGGAAGATTTGGGATGAAGAAAAAGATCCACTGACAGACTGACTGGAAAGAAGGATAGCTGATCAAGATATTAAAGAAAGGAGATCGGAGCAAATGTAGGAACTACACAGGTATCACGCTTTTATCGGTACCAGGGACGGTTTTCAACAGAATGTTACTGAACCGGATGAAAGATTCAGTAGACATCCAGCTCCGAGTTCAATAGGCTGGATTCCGTATGGATCGGTTGCGCATAGACCAAATTGCGACGATGCAGATCATCGTTGAACAGTCAAGTGAATGGAACTCGTCACTGTGCCTAAACTTCACTGACTATGAGAAAGCGTTTGACAGTGTGAACAGGAGAACCATATGTAACCTTCTTCGACACTATGGTTTACCGAAGATCTTCAAAATCATACAGAATTCATACGTTGGAGGAGGACAGATGATAGATGCATTCCAAGTAAGCACCGCTGGTAGACAAGACTGTCTACTCTCCGTCTTCCTCTTTCTTCTGGTAGTTGACTAGATTACGGAGACCTACATATCTGACGGGAAGCCCGGAATATAATAGGCAGCTTGCGTGCAACTGGACGATTTGAACGTCGCAGATGATCTGCCCCATCTATCTCATGCACATGAACAAATGCAGGTCAATACAACCAGTGTGTCAAAAGCCTCTACATCAGTATGCCTCAACATGCACAAGGGAAAAAACAAGATATTGAAATGCAACACGGAGAATATCAATTCAACTACACTTGATATAGAGGTTTTGGAAGATGTGGAACCTTCCACGTACCTAGGAAGCATGATCAATGAACAAGGAGCATCTAGTGTACAAGTAAAGGTACTGGTGGACGACCTATGCTCCTCCATGAGGGGTAACAGGGGTAAGTAAGTAACTTTATAAATCACTGGTGACTTTAATTAGGTCATTTCGGGAGTACTTTTTCATTTTTAAAACAGAAATTGATGACGGTTAGGAAACCATCAGAAGCAGCGATGATTTGAAAAGTGCTTCATCATAGTTAGCGACACTTTATCGTTTACCATTTACTACTTCCATATGATACTTAATCCACTACTAACATAATATATCTAAACGATTGAATCAAAATACAATATATCGTATTTTGTTTATTTTCAATCCTTTGCTATGGTAGAGTAATCATAACTTAGTATCATCAGTTACGATTGTTTCATATTTGGTTTCGTTAAATCCAATGGCAACGGATAATCCGATAAATTTCATCAGTTCATTATTACTATCATTGTTAATCTAAGCAAAGATAGTTCATTTATTTTGGAAGGATGTAACATCTTTTCAAAGGAACATTTTGACTATTGACCAAAGTCCGTTAAACTACATTTGCAAACAAAGAAATATTACACTAGGATAATGTAAACTTCAGATTATACTTTATATCATATTATCTGTATAAAACTGCTCTCAATATACCATTTCGATCAATTGTTTATCTATCTATTTAACTAAGAGAGGAAATCAGATTTTACAAATTATCCCTATGTACATAGTAGTGAATTCTATTCCTACAGATTATCTAAAAAAAGAAAATGGTTAAACAAATAAGTAAACATTCATTCTGTAACATTATCTTTCCTTTTTTTTAAAAGAACAAATACATCTCAACAAACAATGATATGAATAATAGAAAGCATTTAGTTACATCTACTCTCTTTCTCTCTCTCTCTCTCTCCTTAACTTTTTTGTCAAACAAAATAGTCATCAATAAAAATAAATGGAAATGAAAGACTATTGGTGAAAACAAACATTAACTTTTTTTTTACTGATTTGTTGTTGTTTTTTTCCTATTGTTAAAGGAAAACAAGCACTTTAAAGAAGAATAAAAAATAGAAATTTTCTTACCATCTTTATCATAATAATAACTTATTATTGTTAATTATGAAAAATCAATATGTTGTGGAAGTTGCACGTTTCATATTAGTTGAAATTATTGTATCATGAATAGTTGGATGTTTAGATTTTAACCACATTAAACTTTGAATAACCGCTTTAATATCATTACTGGCACATTTTTGTAAACGCCATGGATTTTGAAATTCAAACAAATGTAAACATGTTAAAGGTTGTAATAATGAACCACACCATGAAAATGTGTAATTTGCACCGCTATAACTATCACGATTTAAATAGATTTCATTTGTTCCAGTAGAATCTTTCAAATAATTTGAATGAATGTAATTTTCTGTATCATTATTTTGTAAAATATCTTCAATTGGCATAATATATAGGATGACAATCGGTACTTTATGTGCTATTTCATTAGGAAAACCTTTTAATACAGTTTTTAGTTCGGTATATAAATAAATAGCTTGTTCAGTTGTTTCTCTAGCATCAAGAGCGTAAATTATTCCACAAATACCGTGTAGTAAACATTTCATTTCATTACTTACAATTAATTTATTCAAGGATGATGAGTGAATAGTTGAGATATCTACATCATTTGAATAAGTAAAAAGACGACTGGCATGAATTCGCTCCAGCTGACTATTGAACTTATGACTTAAATGTCCACTTAAAGAGTAAAGATAATGTAAATCAAATATGAAATCGTTTAAGTAATTAATAGCTTGTGAATTGGGTGTATATGTCTCTTTCGGAATAGATTTTTTGTAATCATTTTTTGAATGTTTAAATGTTTTGTCAGAAAAATATACAGAAGAATCTAATGCTGCCATTTGAGCTTGATTATGCAGCCGAAGTGTAAGTCCAGCACCAAAGCCCATTCGACCTGGTATCATATTTAATGGTTCAAATGATTTGGTTTTTACATCAACCAATTTACTAAACAAGCAACTTGTAGCTCTCTGGTCAAAACCCGGTCCAAATACTGCAAATCGACAACGCTGACGACTTATGTCATTCGAACGTGAAGCATGGTAGATAGACAATCTACGTCTAAAATTACTCCACCACCTCCAAAATAATTCACAGAATGATAAAGGACTTGTTGATTGACCTTCGGGTGGAGCCGAAGCAAGACTATGTTGATTAATCCTATCAATCAAAAGTTGAACTTTTGATGCTTCTTTCTGGTCATCAAGTAAGTGTTGAGGAACATATTTCTTAAGGAAGTGATATATTTTGTAAGGATGAATTGTTTGTAGCTTTTGTAGGTCCGGAGCATAGCTGGGCTTAGAATCACATATAAGAGTAGACCATTTAGTTTTTAAAATTGTCACCAACTTTCTTTGCCACAAACAATTGTCAAGCGCTGTTTGTCTCCAAGTAGAACATACATAAATACAATTAATTAAATCAACAGTATCGAGATAATTGAAGACACGCAATAAGATTTCTGGAGGTAAATTGTTAGCTGTAATGTATGCTGTTGATGGCTCTACCATTTCAGATTGAGATGTTCTCCAACTCTCATGAAGCTAGTGTACCTGCTAAATAGACATTTCAGATAGCCTGAAAATTAATTGTAATTGTCTTAAGGCTCAAGATTTATCAATCGCTGGGCGAGGCCAGTAGTATGACCTTACTGCCTCAGGTAACCAATAGAAAATCAGTATAGAGTCAAATAATATAGCAAACTTTAACAAGGTCATCAAATCTTAAATGTGATTGGGTGACTGTAATCAATAAAACTAGATTTGAATAGATGATGCTAAATATGGAGTTTGGTGATTAATTTTCTCAAAAAGCATTGTAATATGACAAAGATATTTCAAGCTGTCATTTTTATTATTGTTTTGGTCGCAAGATTAGCTTAGTAATACAATGTTCTTTTGTTAGCATATATGTCTCCTAAAGTTATTATTCACTGATACAGTAAATACAACGAAGGAGTAACAGACAATGGGACTTTAATTTATGGATAACCTTTGAGCAACGCTAAGGTGATATTAAGACAACTTACCTAATTAACAGAGTCAAAAGAGGACTAAAAATTAATATGAAGAAATAGGATTAGGATTTAGAGTTAGAATTTAAGGTTATGAATTAAAGTAAGGGTTTTCACCATGAACTGATATCAACTGTAATCCCAAAATGCTACTTAACAATATGTATGAATGAATTTCGCGCCCAAATCCAAGACTCTTCCATAACTGACTTTGATTATCCTCTTGGTAAGTTTTGAAAATCATCAAAATAACTTCACACGGTACGGTTATTCAAAATCTACGGTAATACTTGAGCTAACCAGAAACTAACTTATAACTTACCTATTTTTCAGCTATCCTCATAGTTTATTACCAAGGTAACTACAGTAGAACCAAAATGGGACTCATCATGGTATTTTTTTATGTTTGCACTTCACTGTCCTTCAGGAGTTCATGCACAAATTATATCATCCAATGGATTAAATGCCATAGGGACTAAACTGATGATAAAATTTTGAAGATGAATATTAATATTAGCGAACGACTGTATATCTACAAATCAACTGCATATAAGACTAAAATTTCTCTCTTGTGGTTTAAAACTCTTTGTTGTAATGAAACATACTCTAGTGATAAAAAGCGATTATTCGACACTTTCCAATTTATTTATTTTTGTTTTACATTATTCATTACAGTGTATTTTTGATATGGCTATACTAAATGATTCAAATAATGGTATATAAATACTCATTTCAATAACCTTTATTCTAGAACTTAAACAGTGATAAATGATTTTAAGATAAACTGGTCTTCTGCGATCTGATATATGAATTAATGTAGTCGGACATGCTTTGTTAGAGTATAGTAATCTTATCACACTATTGATTTTTTTAACGGATCTGAAAAACTGCAATGAAATATTCTAATTTCAGATAATGAATTCAAAAGTATTTCAAGTAGTTTTCTAAACAAGCGATGATTTAAGAACGTTGTTATGATTGAATACTTTAGTCTGTATTTTTAATCCGAGACAGACAAACCTTGGGAATATGGCTAGTGATAGGGATTTCATTCAAATATATTCTACGAAGAGCTTTTTACGATAGGCAGATAGTCCCATTAAAATAAGACCCAAAATACTTATGATTTTGTAGTCACTATGATCTTTACCCACTTTTGATTGACCTAATGTCAGCAGAAAATAGAAACTTCTCTTAATTAAGGTTTAGAAAGATGTGGGAAAAAAGGATGAAGGCTACCTAAAGTCATAAGTGAAGTTATGGATATGACTCCGGGTCAGTGAACTGGAGCACCTCTGTAGATATAAGATATACTAATCAATCGATATCAATTACATAAAGCGCCAAAATTATGAATCACTCTGGATTTCTTCTTTTTTTTTGAGATTTACTTCATGTACAAATATGTGAAACCTCAAAAGTTCAAAGTCACGGTGGTTAAGTAATGTACTAAATAACTGGTATATCTTATGGCCTTGTCTAATATCACGTGACAAAACAAGAAGGTGAGATCGTATTATATCATGAGATGAGAAATAAGAATTACACGTCATCAAACCGAAAGTGGCTGTGAGTATATATATATATATATATATTAGTCCATAAATAATTTCTAGGAGTTACCATTCATTTAATCTATATCGGATGTAACAGTAATCCACTTTTAAACCAATTAAATTAACTCCGATTTACCGTCGTACCTTCATGTCGGTTAGTGGATAAATATGAAGGCAAGTAATACAAAATGAGTGTAGTAACTTCTGAATATAATTTTCTAACATGTAGTAACAAATACTCTCCGAACAGTACGCTATATTTTGTGTAAAGTCAACTAGGGACTAAGGATATTAGTTACCTCACGGAAACCCTATAACAATTTAGTGAATTCTGTAAGGTGTTCCGCGATAAAATGAAACATATATTTAGTCTAAGTGGTGTAATCACTATACGAAGTTTATCAGAATCATGTACAATATTAAAATAATATATTTTAAAGGAACTGATCATCCTTTAACTTGACAAGATGTATGTCAAACAAAGAGAAAACCCCATAAATTAGCACATAAGAACAGAGTAGACAATAAAATAAAAATACCACGCCACCTTGGGCATTAAAATAAAAATTAATAGCACTAGGGTTGAATCTCCGTACAAACAAACGTAAATATTCGCCCAAGACAGTTTTTCTGCATAGACACAAAAGACTAAGTGTCGATTAGTTTTTTGACTTGTTTCGGTTATGAGCTGGAGAGTAGTGGAAGATTAGAATTAACATCTGGTTTTATTTGGTCACTAGACTTTATTTGTTTTCATAGATATTTTAGTTTATATTCAACCACTACTATTTATAAGGCAGAGCTGCTTCTCCCAATGTTATTATTTTTACACCCATATGTAATGTGTATTGTGAGGCAATCGTTTACATGTTGTTTACGTCTTTAGTATGACATGAATGTTTCTCAATACCGATAACTTTGGTTGTATATTGTACTCTAATGATGACAGATTATTTTCAAAACAAGGCCATTGGATGTACTTATAAATAGTAGGGTAATGTAGGCAAGCTTTCTAGGTGTCAGAAACGCAGTAGATTTCAGCACACTACACCTTTCCTATCGGTGTATCAAACCAATAATATAGAATAAAGTCATTATTATTTATTGGATGTCTGTTATGCATCAATGCTTGATTTAGCCTAATTCTCAGCTTTCCCTACCTTCGGTGACGTTTTAGTGAAAGTAACTTCGTTAAAAATCGTAATTAAAGATCGTAGTCTCATTAAGAAATTTCACACTGTGAACACAGTCGGTTAAGTCCATTTCAGTAAGTACTATGAGTCAGAATAATATCTAGAACGGTATCAAGTCAGATGTTCAGTGACTAACAAAAACGAAATAGGTCCCATATGTTCAAAGTGTGGAACCACCTTAGAATTAAGCAAGTTTTTAATTGTATTTTGCATGAAGTTGAACATGACTGGCCAAAAAATACTTAAGAAAATGTCTAAAAGACATCAAACTACTTATTATTATTAAGTAGCACGACACAATACACAGGAAGACAAGCGAATGTGGGATAAAGCATTTTAAAATTGATTACCAATTTATTTCGTCTGGGATGTATTATAAGAAAGCAATAACAGTGCTGCACACATAATTAGTTTTGATTCATCAAATAATCACAAATTAGCTCTACCTCAGGAGTGAAAAGATTGGAAATTGGATGAAAGAGGAATTCATGATGAGATGGTCCAAAATGACTTATTATCATGGATCGATTGAGGGTAGACATTACCATCATTGGATGCCGCTTCGGTGGTCTAGAGGTTAAGCTTTCGTGCGCACTACTAAGGAGTCCGATAACAGACGAAACGGCCGTACAGGGATTTCGGGTCTTCAGTGGTGGTTTAGCTTGAATTGGCTCGTGAATTCAACTGTTAGAAGGCTTATTATTTTTATATATTACTTTATTTTTGTAAGAAGACGGTTCCTGTAATTTCAACAAGCTAGATTTTAGACAGATTCCTATTGACGTCAATTAATGATAGTCGGTTAAACTCAGTAAATTGTTTAAATCAGACAATGTACACATCGGACATCGTCTAAGTGGTTAAAACGTATAATTTTGATCTATAGTTTATAAACTTGTAAATACCAATTAGATTTCATTTAGGGTTATGGATATGCATTTATAGGGAGTCGTCCTAAATAGTGTAAGCTTAATAATTGAGCCATCTAGCCTAGAAAATGTAAGGCTACTAAAATTATACAGACTTCTGATATGCTATTTAACAGAGAAAAGGGATATCTGATAATACTTAGCAGAACTGCTTATTAAGCAACACGAATAGTAACGTTTGACGTCCATTAAAAGATCCTTGATATTTGAACAATCGAATTATCCTTTAGATACATGGACCAAATTTCTTATTCCCAATGGATACTTTACTTCAGCAATTTTTTGCATTTAAGTTCTCCGAATGGACATTTTAAAAGAGCAGTAGTTTCCAAAAGGAAGTCACACGTGTTATTTTGCAAAGGTTTACACAAATACTAACTATATTTGACTGAACATATTTATAGTGATGTAGTAAATTCACTTGTAAAAATACGAATACTATTTGTCCAGTGTGTATGTTATATTTCTTGTGATTATTAACTATCCCTATTAATTGCCTTTTGGATTACGATTCATTGTACAGATATATAAGTATGAAACTTCATCAAACAATCATTATACTCATGAACTGAAGCTTCATTAATAAAGTTTACTTGTAAGTAAATTATGTTTGAAATAGTGAGAATAATTTGACTTATTAGTTCATATTACTAGTAAGTAGTTGGGGACGGGTTATTAAGAAAACTGTAAAGTTATTGCCATTCAACTTTTCTAAAAGTCACCTTAACATCCTGAGAAACAGTATCGAGTTAAAAATATAATCCTTATAAGTAATTTCAATGGTCCAAACAGATAAAGTTTTTATAAGGCGATTAACTA